GCCTAGCTTTTGTGGTTCCCGAGTTGAAAGTGCGGGACAGAATGTGGGACACACACACAAACACACACACACATACACACGAACACAAACACACGCACAGACAACCCCGTGACAATATGCGTTTTGTAACGCTGTTACACAGCACAAAACGCATAATAAAATGACAAGGCCACAAAGGGAAAAGTGTGGTAAATGGAACATCACCCCGTCTCCCTCTTAACCCAGATTTTCAATCTTGGACCGGATAGAGTCGAAGCGAGACGGGCTGCAACTTCGCGCAGCTCCAAACATGCCAAAGAGACACTTTGACGAATTTTTTCCACTTAAACTTCATTGGTAAAACTGATCAGCGGCTGGTAAAGTAATAAAGACCATGCAGTTTGAAGTCCTCCAAAAAGTCCCAGTTTTGCAGGTTGTAATTTTAATTTTAGATGGTGTGTGTTTATGTAAGAAGTAAGGAAATGAAAGGGAATATGGATAAATTAAAATCTGAATAGGAATGTTTCGGTCTCATGCGGTAAATTTGCGCCAACTTTCTCACATAAGCCAACCAGTGTCTTAATTTTTGAATGCTGTGAAGCGGGCGAAAAGACTGCTACGAAAATCCTTGCTGGGTGGATTACGAGCAGTTCAACTTAAGACGGTAAGCAGCAAAAAATAATCCTATTCCTCAGCAGCAGCAGCTTCACAATGAATTAGAAAAAGCTGGTTGCTCTTAGCGAGATCTGTGGGGCATTTCCCCATTTTGCACCTAACTTTACATAGGTACGCCTGGTCACACTGACGAATAAGATGTCGAAAAGGATGTTCTCCGACAACGGAGCCTCGGAAATACTTGTGTTTGAGGTGAGAGGTCCACTAACTAGTCACTGCTCAGTATTCTAATTTTTTAAACATCTGCATTTATAAATATATAGGAATTGTGGCCATGTCAAGTCTGAGAAATTATTACGACTCTTGCTGCATCAGTTCGCGGCCAGCTTACAGATTAGAGAGCCTTTCGCTAGAATCTCCCAAATCTTCGATCCCTTTTCGTTTGTTCACTTTGATAAAGAGAATGGAAAACAAGCTCTCACGAAGAATGAAGATCGGACATTTACTGAATTAAATGACTAAAAAAATTGAAAGAAATATGCGATAAAAACTAAAATGATAGAAATAAAACGCTTTCTTTGAATAAATTGCTGCTGACCTTAGATAAGCGTCCGTGGATGAATATGTTTCGCACAGTGGATTATCCTCGAGAAATAACGTCTCAATCGGCCATCCTTTCAACTTCTCCAGCTCCAGCTCCCTGCCAATCTGGAAGAAAGAAGAAACTTTTCATCACAAAACTACTGTGAGATAATCATTATAGTACACAAAACTATTGTGAGAAAATTCGATTCTAAAAGCTGAACTGTGCGTTCGTGCAACTTTCACTGATCAAACATTTTAAAAAAACTTTCTGTTGAATAAATAATTGAATCCGCTGTAGTGAAACACCTAGTCGATTTAGTGAACCAGTTTTCCCTTCCTTATCCTACACCTTTTTCCCTTTCTTATACAAAAAAATTTTTCCCCTTCCATATCCTTCGTTTTTTTTCCTCCCTATCTCATCTACCTTCCCTGTCTGCCTTCCTACACATCCCCTCCCCTTTACCAATCTACATTACTTTCCATATCCCTTTTACCTTTTACTTTTTTTTGCTTTCTTTTTGCTTATTTTATCTTTCATTATATATTATCAATATCATTATTATTATCATCATTATTATTATTATTATCATTATTATTATCATCATTATTACTATTATCGTTATTATCATTATTATTATTATCATTATTATT